CTAGAACCTATGAGACCACAGGTTCACTGAGGACTGGGTAATTTTAGATTATTTGAGAAGTATATGCGATGAACAAACAATGTTTGTGGCTTTGCAAGAGGCTTTGTGAAATAATAATATTAGAAATATTGTAGAAAAGGGAATAAGAGGGAGAAGGCTTTTAATAAAAGGCAATATAAAATTAAGAAATGCGGAATAAAGAATTAAAACGGAAGATTGGCGGAAGAGCTGAGGGAAGTCCAAAAGAATGTATTTGTGGAAAATTTTTGTGATGTGTTTTTATAATTTTGTATTGTAAAATGAATAAAAATATTTATTAAAAAAAGAAAGAAATTTACTTGGTGACCGTGGGCTAATCGCTCACTCTCAGCCTGAGCTGACTCACAGGAATAGTGCTGACTGAGAATAAAACGGGGTGGGAGCTCTTTGGAGAAAGGGATTGTTTAAATAAAATATGAATGAAAATGTGTATTATACTCTAAGCTTGCTTTCTAGAATATGTGCTTTGCTTACAGAAGCGCAAGAGAGAGGTGGACCTCCTCATAAGAGTTGATGACTTCTGCTGTGGGTGGGAGGAGTTGGGGTAGACAGGAGTCCCATAGAAGAAGCCTGATGAAACAAACATGTGAATTGCTGGAAGTGTGGCTTTTGTCCAGCTGGATAATTTGCTGTGAATAAATACCGTAGATTAACAGTGGTCTCTCATGAGCACTGCATATAGGAGGCATTAGATCTGATTTCTCTTTGTCTCTGACTCTCTCTGGAAGAGATTGTGCTGCCAGTTTTCATTACCGCTGCTGAGTTACTTAACCCATTTCTAAATCCCACTGAAGTAAACATGCTATGTATTTTCATTTGAACCCTGCATTCGAGACTTAAGTGCACAGCTGTGTGCGATAGCGGATTATTTTGGTTTTGTTTTTAGATGTGCATTTACTGGATTTTCATTCATTAGCTTAAAAGCTAGAGAAGGGCTAGGGCAGGGGTAGGCAACCTAAGGCCCGGGGGCTGGATCTGGCCCAATCGCCTTCTAAATCTGGCCCACGGATGGTCCAGGAATCAGCATGTTTTTATATGAGTAGAATGTGTCCTTTTATTTAAAATGCACCTCTGGGTTATTTGTGGACATAATAATTTGTTCATTCCCCCCCCCAAAAAAATATAGTCCGGCCCCCACATGGTCTGAGGGACGGTGGACTGGACCACAGCTGAAAAAGGTTGCTGATCCTGGGCTAGGTTCTACCTCCCAAACATTTGCAAACTGGCACAATTCTCTTACCCTGATGTGGTGTTCAGACAAATGAATTTTGTTTTATTTTTTCCTCGTTTGGCTTCTTGGATTCATAAGACAGAGTACAAAATATATTGACTTTATGTCAAGCATGGATGATACATGTCTGTATGTATCTTGGTGTGTGCAGTCTGTTATTCCCCTTCCACCAAGCTTATATCAAGGCTTTTCAAAAAATGACTTAAGCTATCCTTTTGCATTTCACCAATTTAGGGCACATCCACACTATACATTTAAAGCACATTCAATGTGTTGGTTGATGGAACCGCTGTTTATTGGTGAAGCAGTGTTGCATATCTTTTGTTTGTTTGTTTGTAAAAAATGTATATATTTTTTCTTTTGCATAATTTTGCTAATTTTGTCTGTTTTGTTTTTGTTTTCTTCTTTGCTTTTTTCCTACATGTTCTTTGTATGTGTTGATTTTTAAACCTAAAAAGATTAATATTAAAAAAATAAAATAAAGCACATTCAACGCACATTTAAAGTACACGACAGCTTGCCTAAAGAAGAATCCTAATAAGCTGTAGTTTGTTAAGGATGGAAATGGTAGCTCTGTGAAGGGTGGTGGTAGAAGAGGAGAATGAACACCCATGATAAAATGCGCAATTTCGAGAGAATCATTCAGTCTGGACTCTGCCCCCCCCCACTTCACTCTCTGCCCTGAGTCTTGGGTGCTCCATAGAATCATACAATTGTAGAGTTGGATGGAAGCTCAAGGGTCATCTAGTCCAACAGCCTGCAATCTCAGCTAAAGCATCCAAGACAGGTGGCCATCCAGCCTCTGCTTAAAAACCTCCAAGGAAGGAGAGTCCACAACCTCCTGAGGGAGACCATTCCACTGTCAAACAGGTCTTACTGTCAGAAGTCTCTCCCCCCCCCCCGTATGTTTAGTTGGAATCTCCTTTCTTGTAACTTGAAGCCGTTGGTTTGAGTCTCCAGAGCAGGAGAAAACAAGCCTGTTAGCCTGTTCTACTTTCAGTTCAGCTGTTCAGGTGCCAGTCTGAGCCTTGAAAAGCACATAGAGCTGAGAGAGGAAGTGGGGGAAATTGCTGCTCCTTTCACTTCCTACTCCAGCTCCATTTACTCTTCAAGCAGGGGGCGAGGTGGGGTGGGGTGGGGAGGGGATCACCCTTGCCACTCTATGACTCAGGGAACAGTGAGTGGGAAGTGAGATGCAAAAGCTTAATGGGTACCAAGGGAGGTCCTCATGGAAACCATTGTGCCCACATCGATGACCTCTGAAGTATATCATGTTCCAGGAGTACTAAAGTGTGCTTACTTTAACTACAAACATGGCGTGATTCTGGCAAAGCCAAGCCTTTATAAGACTAATTGATTTCAGCATGTGATAACATTTTTTAAAAAAGGATACCCACCTTTCCTTATAAAAGGTAAACATGACTTGTATGCCAGAATCAAGCAGTAATGCAACAGAGCAGCAGATCAAGAGATAACAGATAAGACCAGCAATAACATTTAATTAAAAACCCATGTTTTTAATTTAAAAACTCTCCCTCCCAATACACTGATGTACTCAGGATGATAAGGTTTAAACACCATGACTAATGTTCTTCCTCACAAGTTTCAACACCTGGGTGAGCAACAGAAAAGGTCCTCTCCCTTTTTTCCATCAAACACAAGTTTGGAACTTCGTTGATTACCTTAATCTGCAGGGAGCCTCAAGTCACAAGAAGCATGTGCTTGAGGCTACAATACTATACACACTTTTATTTTATTTTTTACAAGTAAACAGTGGACACTCTCAGGATAGTTAACAATAAAATTTAAACCCATAAAGATTAAACAAGCCAAACAGAATAAAACAACCGCAGTGTAAATCTAACTAGAGAAAACCAACTGCAGCAAAGCATTAATACAGTAAATTGAAAGCCTTATGATTAATATGCCTGATGAAATAAAGATGTGCTGACCTGGTGCCAGGTGAGTTATCAGTGGGAAGGGAGGAACAACATCACAGGAGGAGTGTTTCCACCTGGCTGCCTCTGGAAGCCTAGCAAGTTGCTGCAGGAGAGGGACTCTAAGCAACATCACGAGGCAGAGAGTTTTCCAGGACCAAGGTAAAACTGACAAAGTTCCCTTGCTATTGTTACTATTGCCAGGAGGTATAATCTGGTTGATGCAATCATGTTATATTTATAGTACTGAAATGCTGTCTTTGTGTATAGTTGCTATTATGTTGCACTGTAATGAAATTGGTTGATGTGGGGACGTGTTTTAGTTGGCTTGCAAGGAGCCTTCAGCTCGCCACCTTTTGCAGAGAGACATGTGGAGGTGAAGGGCTGCTTTTGTGGTATGAACACGTGGGGGCCCTGCATTGTTATGTCACCTCAAGCGGCAGCAGGGGCCCCTCCAAAGTTAAGGTTGTGTTTTGTGCTTAAGGGCCCTTCCCCAAGAGCACTCCTTCCTCTTGTCCACAAAGGCAAAATTCCCCGGGGTGCACACCCTAATGAAATGTGGTGCACTCCCATCGCTGCCTTGAGAAGTGGTGCATGCACAACATTAGCCACAATCCATGTCTACCCCGTATCTACTCTTTTGTTCCTTATGAAATACTGTGTCCCCCAAAACAACTTTGATCCAAATTGAGAAACAGAATGACCTAGCAGCACTTTAAGCTAATGTGTACATAGCAATAAATGCAAGCTTAAATGTTAGGAAACCTGGTATTTACTGCCCTAATCACCCACTTCAGTAACGCTCTATCTTAGAAAATGATGTGAACAGAAAAGTGTCTGGGAAATTCCCTCATATCCAGGCTTTTGTATGTTCCTGGTATTAGAAGGAATGGTAAGAGGGAAAGGACCTAGCCCTGCTTTGCTTAAATATGGAGGAAGGAAATAGTTATCTTGCTTTTATCTATTTTAGAGGTTCTTATATACCATGCGTGATCCATTAATCCTTTGCCAAGTCCTCTTATTTCCTGGTGTACGAACAATGGAGTGATCCAGGGTGTGTTGCTCATCCTACGAACTTTTATTGCCCCGCTTTTAACGATACACAAAGTTAACAGGGATATTTCGCTGGAATGCACGAGACTTAAGAAGCACCTCTATGGCCTCTTACTGCATGCGAGAGGCAGAAAGGTATAGGTTTGAGTCTGGGATGTGAGATTAGGCTGCTTTAGGAAGCTTGGAGTGTGTGCACGGTGCCAAATGCAGAACATAAAAGCAAGAGTATAGAAATGCTGCAATGTCTTGCCTTGACAATTGTTTTTGCAAAGCCAGCACTCTTCAGCTGCTACCTCCATTGTGTCATAGAAAGCTGCTCCCAGATTAAAGGACAAAGCAGATAACTCTCTCTTTGTGTTTTAAACCAAGGCAACTCACTGCTTCACCTAGCATTAGAAGCATCAGCATAAAGAGATTCATCCCAAACTTGACCCGCGCAAAAGAGCGCCAACCGTTTAAAAAGCCTGTCGTTACCAAGGTGTGTGCAGGGCTTTGAGGCGGAGACGTGCGCCCAAACGCGTAACCTTTTTTTTTTTCTTCCAACGGGGAGTTTTTAAAAAGTGACTTTTTCGGTTCGGGTCTCCGCCCGTGAACGCTTGAAAAGGCACTGGCTGCTGCCTATGTCTGTGTGTGTTAGCTTCACCCCTCGCTGACCCCGCGGCGCGCGACGGAGAAGCCGCGGGGGACGCAGGGAGGGAGATGGGCGAGGGGGGCTTCCCGACACCTCCTCCTCCTCCCGGGGGCAGGAAGGCCGCCGACTTCGGCACCCAGCAGCAGCCTCCGCTTGACGGCGGCATTTCCCGCCTCGCTGCCTCGAAAAGGCGCCGCCTGCTGCCCATCCCCGCCCCTCTCTCTTCTTTTCAGGGCCAGCCAGCCAGAGGTTTATGGGGACAGACGGAGGCGCCTCAGCCGCCTTCTCTCTCTCTCTCTCCGGCGGCAGCCCGAGCCTCTGCAGCGCCGCCTTTTTCCTCAGCAGAAAGGAAAACACACACAACACGCACACGCCCCACACGCTCGCTTAGTTGCAACCGGTTTGTACCGGCCGCCGGCTCTGGCTGCCTCCACACGGCAGCGCCTCCCCGCCGGAGGATGAAAGGAGCCCGGGAGGGCGGCGGGGGAGAAAGAGAGCTCGGCGCTGGAAGGCGGCCCGCGCGCCCACCGGCCGGCCGGCTGGCTGCCTCCCTCTCTCCCTCCAGCAGCCTCGCTCTGCCCTCGGCCTGAGGGCGCAAATAAATAGAGGGCCGCCCCCCGCCCTGGGGGTGGGTGGGATCCCTGTCGCCGCAGAGCGAGCCTTCCTTGCTTGCCACCCCCCCCCCCGGGACGGCGGCAGGTAAATAGAGGGGTGGGTGGGGCGACAGAGGGAGAGCCCCGTGGGAATATTTGGGGGGCTGGGGGTGGGTAGGGGGTTGCTGTGTCACACTGGGGGCTGGGGCGGGAGGGGCAGCAACTTTAGCAGCAGCAGGGAGGTGGGGGAATTAAAATATTTAAAAAAGACTGCCTGGATTAGGGATGTGGTGCAAAGGGGAGCCAGCCCGGAGACTGCAGCAGTGTCGTGGGCTGCAGACGCGGGGAGGTTTCTGCAAGCCCTGATTGAGCCGCTTGCTGTGCTTCTTAAGCGAGCAAGTCGCCCCCGCCCCAAAACAACGAGCAAGCGCAGGTCGCCGCCAAGAGAGCACATAGCTTTTGCTCAGGTTGCTTCTGCAGGTTGCAGATCTTCTCCCCGTGCACTCTCCCCTCTCCCTACCCTTGGACGTAGTGGGATTTGCTGCTGACCAAGCATGCATTGGACTATGATGTTAATTAACTTCTTCTCTTTTTTGCAGTAATGCTATGGCAGGGCAGCGAAAGCTTCATTTCCTGGTTGTCTGCACCGGGGGATTCTAGCCAGCTTTCGTGAGGTTAACTTGCTGATATTTGTCCTTTCTTAGTCTTCTCTCTCTCTCTCTCCCCACTGTACTGAGTTTAATACTAAAAACTCATGCAGGCTCTTTCAGCTTGTTATCCCGCAAACCTCCCATGTGCATTGATGGCCATTGTATAAACAAGCAGGAGTAGAAGATGCAGGGCTCTTAAAATTCCTCAAGTTCCAGTATGTTGTGGACAATTAGCGCACTATTCCAAAGTTAATTTTGTCCTTGCACACTGTGCCCGTTGTCATCTGGAAGAAGCATGCTTGTTTTATGTTATGTGAACGCAAGGTGTTTCCTGTGGTTAATGAGCTACAACTGTCAAAGGTGGGTGTCCCACCAGTGACACATAAGCGAAAAAGCTGCATATGTTCTGGGAGAAGGAAATGCTAACACTGCTAAATAGGCTACTTTTTGAGTTTGGGTCTCAGGCTGGTGCTAAGGAGTCCCATTGATGGTTTAACCAACTTTAAATATAATTTTGATAGAACACTTAATACATTACTGCCATGTTATCTTATTTGCCCTTGCAAGACTCTTGCTCTTTTTACTGATTGAAGACCTAAGAGGTAGTTCCCCTTCAGTCATCTGCTGAGTGCCAGGATTTGAATCCAGAGTGCAGAGTCCAAATTTCTTTCCAATAAATTCCTTTTCTTTGGTCATAGTTCCAAGATAAGCTGCAAGCTCATCCCTTAAACGAGAACGTCACAGTGCCTTAAGGACAACAAGGTGTTCCTTAATTTAAAGGTACTTTAATTTTCACATAGGTTTATCGTGTCCCCTCTTTTTAAAATTTCATTCTGGAAACTTAATTAAGTGCATTGTTAACATTCAAGCATGAGGATATCACTGTGTTTAAGCCTATCCCCAGCTTGCCTCAAGATACCCTGAGAGTTAAAGGGTATAAATGTGTTGAGGCTGAAGTGCATGTTGTCTTATGACAGCCTGGAGTTCAGTGTGTGTCTCTGGAAGTTAAGATTATTTTGAAGCTTCATTTTATAAAGCCAGTTGTATGTCTGAGGAGGTTTTTCTACTTTACAACTTAGTGTTAAAATACTAGAAGTGGTTTCCCCCACCTATTAAAAAGACCCCATGTTTCTTATTGGTTTGCCCCCTGATGGCACTCCAGTATTCTTCAAGGCCGTCTTTTATTAGACGATGATTTCGGTTTTTGTTGTTTTCAGCTGTGGACTAAGTAAGGAGACAGTCTTCCTGTTTTTGTTGTTTTTTTGTTGTCAGTTGTGGATTAAGTAAGAAGGAAGGATTGGAAACATCAGGAAGCAGATATGCCAGACACTTAAGGCTGCATTGCTAAAGTTAGCTGACTTGCTGTCACCGCTTCTGGTAAGTTAAAGCCTTTTCTTTAATTATCCTTGCATTTTCCGCATTTTCCTATGCTTGTGTGCCACCCTTTCTCCAAGTTTATCTGGGTAGGATATGCAGGATTATCTAATTTTATCCTCCCAACAACTCACTCTCTCTCTCTCTCTCTCTCTCTCTCTCTCTCTGTGTGTGTGTGTGTGTGTGAGAGAGAGAGAGAGAGAGAGAGAAAGATGGATCGGTGGATATCCAGTGAGTTTCATGACCAAGTGGATCTTTGAACCCATGTCTCATGTGTACTTGACTAAAACTCTATCCTATAACAAGTTGTAGGCAGAAATTCAGCTACAACCAACTAGTGGTTCACAGAATTCTTACAAGGAATGTTGGACTATGTGAACCTTGGGTCTCCTCCAACAAAACACTTCTTACGTTAAACAAGAATGCATACTCAGGATCACTTAGTGCCGATTAGTTGTGCTTTAACTGTTCAGAGGTCTTGATTATTCAGTTCTGCTGTGCAAATTGAAAGCACTTTAGTGGGCCATGGGGAATCTACTTTAAAAACCAAACAGTAGACCAAGCAACACTATAGTTGGTATCTCCTGCACAATATTATATTGGTTGTCATTGTCTTTTTTCAGTCTGTGTGCATGGTGAGCTGCATAGCGTTGCCTTGATCTGACTTCTAGATAAGTGCCGAAACATGTTAAAATAAGACTGCTTCCCTCAGTTAACCATTGTTACCTAAACAAACACAACTAAATCAATGCAAACATTTAGTGGTTATTTTCTAAAAGTATTTTCAGCTGTTTAATGTCGGGTGTCATGAAAGCTCAGTACAACCTCCCCTCAGTCTTATTAGTGCAATTCCGTGTAGCATTGCATTATTTCTATGCTACTGTTTATCAATTTGACAGTTTCCGGGGGGAAAGACACTTGGCAAAAAGTTATTGTGAGTGAATAGAAATGTCTGAAAACAGGAACAATAATTCTTGTGCTCTGCTTCTCTGCAAAAAGTGTTGAAGTGGAAATAATTAGTTTCTGTTTAACCAAGAGCGTGATAGGATTGTAGGCTATTGAGAACAGTGCTTTCTAGAGTGTTGGGCAAGAGATGTTAAATTTGTTAACCACAAACGGAAAACAGATTTTATCTGGAAACCAGGTAACGTAAAGGAAGTTCACTTATTAGTGATCTCTGAGAATGTGTATTGTTTGTCATAAGCAGCTCTAAAGTGGTTTGGGATACTGTGAGGTAATAAATAGTTTAGATCTGTGTATCATTTAAGAGGAAGTTTGCCGTATGGATAAGTAGGAGAACAACCCTATAAAACCCTGCATCCCTTCTTTAAAATAAGAACCCAGTTGCATGGACTTACTGAAATGGAGACGAGACTCTGAAAGGAGCCGACATGGATTGTGGCATGTAAGATTACAGCTTTCAGATGTTAGACTTTGTAACTAAGATGTCAGCTGGCAGCTTGATTCAAGAAGCCATTGGAAATGCTTCTTGCTATTTAGCAATCCAGTGATGTGCTTTTTATTTATTTAAACAGTAAGCCCATTTCCTCCTCCTGGTTATATTTTTCTTCTCTGACAGTTCAGAAGCCATGAAATGTGAATTGGGAATACATTTTTATTTTATGAAATCTAGCCTTTGGTAGGTAGACAAGGGCCCTAATCCAGTGAGTGTGAATGTTTTAAGTTGCACTGAAACTAATGGCACAAGTTAGTCACAGCTATCTGGTATCCAACACTTTCACTGGGACTTACTTGAGTAAGTTCCTTTAATCATTAGGACTTACTTCCTGAGGGGATAGGTAGAATCAAGTTGCATGCCAAAACTTAACTTTAGTAGAAACAGGGCCAAGTGTAGAGGAGTTAAATATTTTGTTTACATCTTTCTGATTACCAAAGAAATATGACAACTGAATGAAAGCTTTAAAAGAGAACAGAGAAATCCATGGAAATTGATGGATATGACTAATGTGAGTCCATTAATTTCAGTGTGCCTACTGTGACTAGAAATTAACTGGATGCAACCCTATTTTTTCAGTAGCAATGGTTAGAAATATCAAATGGTCAGCAATTGCGAAGGCAATAATGCTTTGAGTAAAACACCACCAATGACTAACATACGATTTTCAAATGTTATAATATTAACTTTTGGTCATTCATATTTTAGTAACCATGAACTGTTGTACACTTCTCGTCTGGTATGAGGTTCTTTTGATCCTTAGCCTTCTACCCTCTTAGCCTCACTGCATACCAGTACAAATGTAAACATTGGTGCAGATCATGGCACCTCACACCTGTGGTCTCTTGGACTACTGCAATGTGCTCTATGTTGGGCTACCTTTGAAGGTGACCCGAAAACTACAACTAATCCAGAATGCGGCAGCTAGACAGGTGGCTGGGAGTGGCTGCCGAGACCACATACTTGAAAGACCTAGATTGGCTCCCAGTACGTTTCCGAGCACAATTCAAAGTGTTGGTGCTGACCTTTAAAGCCCTAAACGGCCTCTGTCCAGTATACCTGAAAGAGCGTCTCCACCCCCTTCTTCATTCAGCCTGGACACTGAGGTCCAGCGCCGAGGGCCTCCTGGCAGTTCCCTCACTGTGAGAAGCCAAGTTACAGGGAAACAGGCAGAGGGCCTTCTCAGCAGTGGCACCCGCCCTGTGGAATGCCCTCCCACCAGATGTCAAAGAGAACAATAACTACCAGACTTTTAGAAGACATCTGAAGACAGCCCTGTTTAGGGAAGCTTTTTATGTTTGGACTACTGTATTTTAATATTTTGTTGGAAGCCACCCAGAGTGGCTGGGGAAACCAGCCAGATGGGCAGGGTATAAATAATAAATTATTTATTATTATTATTATTTATTATGTAGGTTGGCAGACCTCTAACAACTTTTTGTGGGGATGCTTCTTGTCCCCAACTCCATGCATCGAGCTGTTTTTGGATGGGATATTTGTTTTTTTTGGGAGCTGCTATATTTGCTTGTTTACTTTGTTTGCAAAGAGAAGTGTATAAAAACAACCCCTACTTCTCATAAAATAGCTAAGATAGTATCGTGGCCAAAAGTGTGATCTGGGAAGATCCAGTCTTTCCTCTTATAGCTACAGACTAACTTGAAAGGCTTCAGGCAACTCACCGTTTCCTCAGTCTCAGCAACCCAGACTGCAATATGGGGTTATACTGGCCTATTTTACAATTGGAAGGGTTCCTGAGATAAGTGTACATGAAGTGAACATGTGGGATCCATTACATAAATGTTGTTTGTTGGTCATAATTATATAATATTCAGTTCCAAACATTGGGTTTAAAGGCCAATATCTATCTTATCTATGGGGGGGGGATTGATTATACATTAAGGACAAGTCATTGCCAGGCAATAAATAAAATCAACCGTCACCTTAGAGTTCTGTAAATCATTATAAAATATTGCAAGTTTCAAAGCTTACTTGCATTGACCTCCTTTTTACTTTCCTTCGGTCCAAGGCTGCTGTCAAGAGCTTGAGTGATGGTAGGAGTTGGGTCATGATTTTTCTTTCTGTCTGCTTGTTCCAGAGAGTATGATCTTTTGAAGTTGGTATGAAAGTGTATAAAAATCAACCTCATACCAGAATTTCCTATTTCCATGTTCATTTCCGCTACTTGGTACAGTAAGAGTTGCTTCGGTTTCATGTACCTGGTATTTCTCTGCAGGTTGAATTGCCAAATACACCAAAAACAACATGTTCTAGAAGACTGAATGACAAGATTCTATTCTGTAAGTAATATACTCTCCCCTTTTAATAAGTACTTTGCAACTTTGTAATATTTATACGGAAGGCCTTCCTTCCTTCCTTCCTTCCTTCCTTCCTTCCTTCCTTCCTTCCTTCCTTCCTTCCTTTCTGGATTTTCTTTTAACTTGAAATTCATGATGCAATTGATATTTTTATGTCCTTCCTATTGTAATTCTGACTATCCTTTCTTTTACAAAAATTAATCATTATTTGTAATACTTATTTTGCATCCTCATGCTTTTTGACATTTGGATATACTGTATTCAGTTTCTGTAGAAACGAAGATTATGCTAAATCCTCTGCCTTGGGAACCAAAACCTCTGATTGTTTTCTTGTTAATTACTTTATATTACACAACATGACTTCAACTATCTTTGGGAATTCAGATTGTGTTCACATGAGGCTCCCGTGTCGTCCTATACATGGTACATAGTCTCAGAATAGTCAACCCTATCCAGCTATTGTGGCATCCTTGTGCCTTCAAAGCAAGCAAACGTGTTCCTTTCTGCCTCCTTGCAAAACAAACATTTCTCCAAACTTTAGTTCCACAATGTGAGGCCAGCAGCAAGTTGCAAGTGCTCTTAATGGGAGCTTCTGACCAAGTCATGATGTTGAGGTCAGTTGTTAAAACACCACTGACAAATATTTCATTCAGTAAACCTGAACTGGCTCCCAGGTCATTGTTATATCAATTCTAAGACCATAGTACCCAGTCCTAGGCAATCTGAACACTACCTGTTAGCAGGATGAGACTTACAGGTTTTTTAAGACACTTGGGGTATGTTGCAAACTTTCAGATCTTTGTATATTTACAATGAGCTCTTCGTGGAGTTTAGGCAACTGGGTCAACTAAGAGCCAGTTCACACAGTATGTATTTCTCAGAGGAAGAATCTGTCTCCAGTTCCCTTGGTGCTCTGTGTTCCTTCTTATCAACTCTGTTTTCTATTTCTTTGTATTCTTTTATATAGAGCTGCTTCTGACCCTTGAATTTATCCTGGAAAATGGTGTTCCAGAAGTCACCAGATGGTGGATGGGGCTGGATGATTGTACTGGTGTCCTTCTTTACCCAGTTCTTGTGCTATGGATCTCCATTAGCTGTTGGAGTTCTCTATCTAGAATGGCTGGATCTATTTGGAGAAGGAAAAGGAAAGACTGCATGGGTTGGCTCCCTTGCAAGTGGAGTTGGACTACTTGCAAGTAAGTCTTTTATATAAAGCATATGATTTAAAATGAAGTGTTTACTTATTAAATGCTTTTAAAATGCATATATGTGATCTTTAAATTTCTGGCCTGAAAGAAATGAATTCTTTTAAGAATAGTTCCTTGCATATATTAGAATAAGAATATAAAGAAAGAAAATGTCATTTGACTGTCGTCAAGTTGAAAACATGCAACTTTTGAGAAATTGCAAATAACTAAAGTAAATTGGCATGATGGCTTGGAGAAAGGATTGACCTCTAATGAAAATTAGGTAAACATATTGTCTTTCTTGATAACATGCTCTGGATTGTGTGGTTTTACCCAGAAGCTAGTCTCCAGCACTGAATTCAATTGAATTTATTCATAGTAATTGTTCTTAAGACTGCAAGCTTAGCAGACAGTAGGAAAGCCAATGTAGATGTTGCTGAAGCCAGCTTGTGTGAGCAGTGTAATAATATTTGACGTAGGAAGATGGAAGATTGCAGCAGCTATTTTCAGGGCTAGAAAACCTGAAATATGCAATTTTTCAAATAATAGAAAGCGCTACTTCAGTCTTATACAATTATCTGCTTCAGGTGTTAGTTGAAACATGAAACAAGGAATAGAAAACCTTCACAAGTGAAACATCTGCACCAGCATTTAAGGCAAATAGAAAGTCCAGTTTTGTAAGTTCACCACAACCCGAAGGAGCTATGTTTATTTTGGAAATAGGTCAAATGGTGGGTGCCATCCAGAGAATGTTGGGCATATGTCTGATCTTCTGAAATGATTTTTCAGTGTTTGTGGTATTTTTAAATACTGCACAATTCAGTGGAGGGACAAGGTTCTGTGAAAAGTGAAAATTTATTACCCTGATCACTGAAAAGTTCAGTAAGAAAGCAGACAGTGTTTTCAACCTGCAGAGCTTTCTCTTGAATTTTTTTTTTTGAGCAAAAAACTTGAATTTGTAATATGATAATTGAGAGCTGTAAGCTGGACTCTAATCCTTTGAGCTCTCAAAGTCATGCTGTGAAACTAATTTTCTTAAATGTAAGAAGTTGATGAACCAGCTTTTATACAATTCCACATGATATCTTCGCACATAACAGTGGGTGTTGTAACTTAGAAAGACCCACAATTTATTGGGCATCTCAATTTAAACTGTGGTTTCCAGTTGTAGTTTTGAGGCAAGCTGCTTGCCTTACACAGGCAGAGCTTTCCAAATTGTGTGTTGTGACACGTTAGTGTGTCGGCTGCAGTGTGTAGGTGTGTCGCGCAAATCTCCCCACGTTCCTCCCAGGTCTGGAAGTGGGTTAGTTTAACCTCCAGTTTCCTAGTAAAACTGAATTACAAAATGATGCATGTCTAAAAAGTGTGTCACCAACATGAAAGTTTGGAAAACTCTGGTGTAAAGCGTTGATTTGGATGTCGTGGCAAGGTGAATAAAATATGTACCTTCTGCAAACCACACAGGCTTTAAAAACTATTCTTGGTCCTTATAGTAGACTGGGGCAGCATGGCTGGCAGGGACCAGATTTGTTGCAGACAGTCCCACACAACCGTATCCCTCTCTTCTCCAGTACGATCTCCAGTTTAATACTGGGATTTAGTGTTTACATCCTGCCTTTCTTCTAAAGAGCTCAAGGTGGTACATGGAGTTCTGTCCTGTCCTCTTTCATCCTCACTACCGTTCTGTGAGGTAGATGAGAAAGAGTAACTTCCCTAAGGACTCCATGACTAAATGAGGCTTTGAAACTGGGTCTCCCCAGTCCTAGCTTGGTACTCTGTATCACCAGCACCACATCACTCTGCCTCTCAGGGATTCAATCTAAGACAGGATTTTGCCCATAAAATAAGATTTTAAAGATTATTTTTTTATGTGGTGGTGAAGTTTGGATCAAAATATTTATCACCAGTGCTTATGAAGAAAAACGCATTGCCCTTGAAAAATGATTTGCTGGATTTGAAGGAGTGGGTCATAAGGACATCATATTTAAGCTTTAGAAATGGCATTGCCAGCTGCAGGAGGGAAGGCTATCCTGTTTCCCTCTCCATGGCAACCAAGGCTCTTTGGAGGTGCTTCATCAACCAAAGCAAGGAAGATGTATAGCAAAACATCCAGCCTAATTTCCCAAGTCGTAAACTCTCGTAACACCCCTGCTAGTGGAAAAAAAACAACCCACTTGATTTCTTTTCTTACAGTACAGTGAGTTTTAGGCAGGGGTCAGCAACCTTTTTCAGCCGTGGGCCAGTCCACTGTCTCTCAGACCATGTGGTAGGCCAGACTATATTTTGAAAAAAATAATAATGAAAGAATTCCTATGCCCCACAAATAACCCAGAGATGCATTTTAAATAAAAGCACGCATTCTACTCATGTAAAAACATGCTAATTCCTGGACTGTCCGCGGGCCGGATTTAGAAGGCTATTGAGCTGCATCTGGCCCCTGGGCCTTAGGTTGCCTGTGCCTGATTTTAGGTAATTCTTAGTGAAATAGAGGCTCATTTATTGAATGCTCCCTGTGCTCTTCTAAATGTTAGATGTGCAAGGGATAACTAATTTGGATAACCAAGACCTGGTTACTGAGATTTCTTCTTTTTCTGTCATTATTTATAGCTGCATACAATAAATCTACTGGTTTTGTGTAAATGAACATTTATTATTTTTAATATTATGGGGTGAAAACCTTCATATTTTTGCAAGTCCTCTCATGATTATTTCCCCCCATTGATTTAAATGGTACCAAAGTGTGCCTAAATTAGTTTGGATCCAGGCCATTGTGTTTATTTTTTAAAAGCAAATGCAGATTTTCTCGCTTCCTTGGCCTATGTGCTGTGTTATCACTGTCTATATACCTATAATTATTATCTATATTTTAGATGTAATGCTCATGAACATTCAAATGAAAGCATGAAGCTTTTGCCCTTGAGTTCTGACATCTACATTGGTGAGATCTAAATCTACCATCGGTTTCTCCTGTACCTTTAGGGCTTGGTGGCAAACAGTTTTACGGAGTATTACCGGAAGAAATACCAAGAAAAAAGTTTTTACCATTAACCATGGCTTTAATGCCTCCCTATGTATTTTAAATATCTGGAAATTCAACACTAACTGTGTGTCTGCTGCCAAAAATGGAGCCCCGTGTTTGGCTCTCATTTCATAAAACTAAATAAAATTTATACCTATGTCCTCAAATTTCCCCATGCCTTCTGCCAGCAGCCACCAATGAGGGAACAGGGAAGGGAACATAATGACATGGAAATGTCTACCAGACATTGCAGAGGCAGAGGACAGCTACTGCTAAACCACAGAGCTTCCATCATTGGCAGCAGCTTCTAGTTTAGCATAACTTCTACTTCGGTCCTTAAAAGTGCATATTATCTTGGTTACTATGCCCCATTTCCCCAAGAAAACCAGAAGAGCATATAGCTAGAGATGGCTTATACTTCCCCTCCCTTTGCCAGAATATTGAAGATGCTATGGCAGAGTCAACAGCTGCTAGCATTCTAGTGGTTGCAGCACTATGGAAAGCTCCAAGTGAGCAGCTGTGCTCTGGCAAAAACTGAAGGTGGAGTGGGGTCTTTTGAGTCCATCTGTCCCATTCATCCAGCCCATGGTTCTGCTCTCCTGCTGGAAGAATGCATGTTTTTAAAGGGCCAATTCCCTGGCCAGAAGGAGTGCTTCCTTCTGCATTGACTCCCCAGGTAAAGTGGGCTTATGGGGAAGGTGTCTACAAGCATCCTGGTTCAGGTTCTGCAGCCTCCTGACCACCAGGCTCAGGCTCTGCCTGTGAACCCTGGTCTAGTGTTAGAGCAGCCCCAGATTCATCAAGCTCATCCCCCCTCTGACCAGAGCTTGAGTGCAGGAGGGTAAAGGACTTGTACATTTTGTCTTCTGCACGCACTACTGTAGGTCCAGGCTTAGGTCTCTTGCCTATGACTGCATGCACTGCCAGGTCAGACATGCTTACCATGCTAACAATGCTCTTTGATACCTTGTCTATTTCTTACTAAATAACTTGCACTAATACAATCCCACTGCTGGTATGTGGTTGCAGTTTGCAACTAACTCACTCATTGTTGTAACAATGTAGCACATCACTTAATTCATGACAGCTCGTTAAGATATAGTGGCAAATCAGTCTATTCTGAAGTCTTTCATAGTACTCCCATTTTTGTGACATGCTATAAAATTTGCTGTGTAAGTAGACCACTTTAGAGTTAAGCCTTTTTTAAACCAGCTCAGCGAAAAAACTTAATACATTATGCCAACCTCTTAGCAAGAAATAACTGTTTTCCTGCACATTGTCTGGCACACTGGTAGTTTCCACTAAGAGTTTCCACATTTAGTTTCTTTAAGGGTCCCTGTCAGCTCCAGTTGAATGAAGAGTCGTGGAAGACTACAGAATCCTGACTTGGAAGCAGGGACCTGTTGTCTTGTACAGTTCCTTGCTGCATCAGTACAGCTCTTCTGTTAATACTCTGTTAATATTATCTTCTATTTAAAAGAATTTCTAAAAAGAATTTCCAAAAAAGTTGAAGATTTTGGGGGGAAGGTATCTATCTGCCTGGCTATTGTGAGAATAGAGTTCTGGACTAGTTGGGTTTTAGGCCTGATTCAGCAGAGCTCTTCTTAGGTTCTTGAGTGATGCTCAAGGTTTACTGAAATAGCAGAAGAATGTTGTAATGATAGAGAGGTTTAGTTTCTGGATTTCTTGTGATACGCCATTTTACCTTTGCCATTAGATCAAACATCCACTGGGGTAAGCACTGCCAGCATAGAACTGAGCATCTATTTTGCTTACTCGGTCAAGCGAAATCATTAAGAACAACTTTCTCTCCAGTTGAAATCCTAGCCATGCTTGCTTAGAAGCAGTTTGATGGAAATATTTATGCTTATGTTTCTGGCCCCCTTTTTAAGATTACAGCGTTTTGTCTCATCAGTTATGTATGCCACTGATCAAATAGCATGTCTGCTTCCAAGTCCCTACTTTGAGTCTAGGAATGTAGGAAGTTGCCTTATAAGTCAGGACAATTGGTTCATCTAGTGTCTACACTGACTGACAGCAGCTGTGCATGGCTCTAGGCAGGTGGCTTTCCTAGCCCTAACTTAAGGTGCTAGGGATTAAAAGATCTTGGGACCTTTTGCATGTAAAATATGTGTTCTACAATATCTGGCAAACATCTGGAAAGATTTGTAGGAAAAAATACTTTAGGAAGCTTGCAGGCAATATGTATTTATGTGTCTGCACCAGTTAGTGCTGTTGTATATTCTATATTTTGAGTATGTTCTTTTGGGGTTAAACAACTATTTTATTCATCTGAAATGTGAGCTTTGAGGGCTCTTTTAGTAGCCAACCCAGAAGCAGGAGAAGTAATAAAGGACGTTGTTGCTAGATAAAACGGATTTGTCAGCAACACACCTTAGAGAGTGGCACAGTGGGAGCTTGTCTCACAGAAAGCTGCTCCCCTGTAAAACTAGTTGCATACAAAGTTAACAGTTCTTGATCAAACATATTTTCAGGGTGGGTGTCCTGACTGGAGAGAGGGGGCTACCTAGTGAAACCGCAGGAATTCAGGCAGGACTTGGGTAGCAACCTCTTATCCTGCACAAGGTCACAACCATAACTGTCAACGTTTTCCCTTTTTTAAGGGAAATTCCCTTATTCCGAATAGGATTCCTCGCAAGAAAAGGGAAAAGTTGACAGCTATGGTCACAAGGCCAGGGGAAAAAGGTTTGGTTTTTCAGAAATCGCCTTGCATAATTTGCACTGTGAATGCTTTGAGGACAGTAATCCATTTCTGCCTGTTTTTATAAGTTTAACATGTTAAGTGTGTAAATATATGTGTAAGCCCTCATGATCCATACAGAGGAAATTGAAGTCCAAAGGATATAGATAAAATATATTCTTAAAGAATAAATTTGTGCTTTTTCAAGTGTAGCTGTACAATACTCTTTGTTATAAAATTGCTTAATTTGTCACGCAGCTCGAGGAAATCCAACAACGGGTATACTAGGTGGAAGTGCTAACCGTGGCACACTGTAGATGGACGGGAGGGACAAGGACTACAGAATTATTTCAAACTCTAGTTGGGCAGAGATCATGTGGGGGAGCAGATGTTGGTGAAAGAGTAGGTAGCCTCATTGACTCTTGGAGCCATAACTGGACCACCATTTCCTGGTTCAGCCAAGACATAAACAACTGATTGGAAACAGAGAGGTGATCTCAGTTCCCCATGCGTCATGGATCTTTTAAAAATACATGCCTTCTTTCATATTGAGAGCAATTCTGCTAAGGGGAGAAATCTCTTTAGCGCTTGCTTATGGAACATTATTTTCTTTTCTTTTCTGTTCTTTCCTTTTCACAATCCACTCCTCTTGTTCTTAAATAGGTCCTATTTGCAGTTCATGTGTATCTGCTTTTGGAGCAAGACCTGTAACAATCTTCAGTGGCTTTATGGTTGCTGGGGGTTTGATGATGAGCAGCGTCGCACCCAATATCTACTTCCTGTTTTTTTCCTATGGAATTGTTGTTGGTAAGAATCACAAGAGATTATTTTTGAAAAACCCCTAAACTAAAAAGGGGGTTGGAAGGGGTTGTGTGTTTCAATTTCAAAATTAAAATGTCAAATCTCCCTTTTATTAGTAGCAGCAAATAATTATTATTATTATATTTCTATACCACTTAATATATAAAAAAATCACTAAGCGGCATACAAAAAACTGAAGCAACAGCAGACAACTTAATTCTTGTGCAGTTTTGATGAATTCAAAAAGGCTTATAGGCAGCTGCCTCACGAGCCACCTTCAGGTGAATGAAGGTTGTGTAGCATTGGGGGCGCTTTGTGAGTTTCACTTCCAAAATGGCTCTTTCTGTGCTGTTTTAATTTAATGAATCAAAACTGAACCATTAGTAATGTTAATAACAAGAGTGCCCGATTCTTTGTGATTAATGCTTTGCCTTTTTAGGACTCGGGTGTGGCTTATTGTACACAGCAACAGTAACCATCACATGTCAGTATTTTGAAAAACGCAGAGGCCTTGCACTTGGTCTAATTTCAACAGGTATGGTTTTTATCTCTATTTTGAATTACCTTATACTGGTTTATGACTTAGTTATGGTTTCATTAGCTGTGATTATTGCATCTTAAGTCTCATAGAAAAGTGAACTGTTTTGAATTTGGTTTGCAAACCATGGTTTGCATCTATAGTTGGTAAGCACTGTATTTGTTCTGAGCAAACTGTGATTAATGTGCTTTCCCATCTCTCCAGCATCTCAGCTTCCTAAGTCACAAGCAGGTCCTGCTGGTGCCTCTGCCTTCCAGGAGAAGGGCTTGTCTAAGCAAGCTAAACCATTGGTTCATACATAGATCATTTGGTGCCATGAGAATGATATCTTTGCATAGGCACTCACTTCTCCCCTTCTTTTCTGTCTTCATGTTCTTCACTTCAGCTACTTTCTTTTAGTGCAAACTCTGGGTTTGTGCTTGCCCTTCAAACCATCTTCATATCTTCATTTGCTCTCCTGGTTTGTAAGCCAATGACGAGCAATAATTTTGCTGATTTGGATGTACTGTAATGGTTTATGGTAAAGAAGTAAGCAAGTAACTGAAGCAAAATGTGAGATGGAAAGCGGTGACAGTGCACATCAGAACAGGGCATATGTCCTTAGTGCCATACCATGGTTATGGCTTATATCCAAATGAAGTCTTAATATTTGTGCTCTTAACCCTGGCAGTAAACCATGGTTAAGCAGTATATGTGCATTAGGCCCAAGACAACAGTAGTGAAGAAGTGCAAAGGATTAGATCATGAATCTGCTTCAGACTGTAGTCCATACATTTCAACCTCATTTCCTTTAGGAAAATGATGTTGTAGGATATTTTATGAACTCATTTATATGTTTCTATTCTCTCCTTTCAGGATCAAGCATTGGGGTTTTTATATATGCAGCATTACAGAGGGAGCTAATTGAACTGTATGGATTAGATGGGTGTCTGCTTATTGTTGGTGCATTGTCTCTAAATATATTAGCGTGTGGGAGTCTGATGAGACCTTTGCAGTCGTGTGGCTCTGCCTTACCAGAGAAGCCAATCCTCGAGAAGGTTCCAGATCAATACCTCATTTATAATGAAAGAGAAAAGAACACTTATGAAGAAAATGTACTTGAAAAAGCCAGCAGTGAAGAAAAAGGTGTGAACCAAACATCCTGTGGTGACTGCAAGCAGGAGTCAGCAATAACTAAGAACAATCTGTTAATGATAACACCACACGAGAGAGAGACTTACAGACGGAAAGTTGTAGAACGGACCTATTTCTGTAAACAGCTTGCCAAGAAAAAATGGCAGTTATATTTAGACTACTGGGGGGAAACGCTGGGACTTTTTAAAAACAAAGTATTTTCATCACTTTTTATTGCCATCTTCTTCTTTGACATTGGCGGCTTTCCTCCTTCATTGCTCATGGAAGACATTGCAAGAAGTTCCAATATTGGTGAAGATGACACTGTCATTCCTCTCATTTCTGTCATAGGCATCATGACTGCCATTGGGAAACTTGTTCTAGGAATACTGGCAGATTTTGAATGGATTAATACCCTATATCTATATGTCCTGACTTTGATATTGACTTCGGTGGCACTAGTATTGATTCCGTTTGCCCAAAATTACATCACACTGGCAATACTTTCAGGGGTTTTGGGTTTTCTGACAGGCAACTGGTCCATTTTTCCATATGTTACAACAAAGACTGTAGGAATCGAAAAATTAACACATGCATATGGCATACTGATGTTCTTTGCTGGACTTGGAAACAGTCTTGGACCACCAATTGTAGGTAAGGCTGCGTTTTAACAGGCATATATAAGTATTCTGAGGTACTTTATAGCAGTTTGTCTGCTCTCCAGTTCTACCTGTTCAGTATTCAATTTCATAAGTTCACTCATGTCTCCATGATGCAGCAGCCTGTTTGGCAGAACAGTAACTATAACTATGGTTTGAAGATTCAGACACAATAGCAAACTACTGCAAATTGTGGTCCCCAAAGCAGCCTCAAACTGTGGCTTAATGTCCTGGTTTGACAGCCCCTTGTAAGCCACAACTTAGCTAGTCTGATGTGGCACCTGAATGCTGATAATGTGTGGCTTCATTTGCTTATGCAGAATATTTATTTTACAATTACACTGTTGTTTTCGGGGAAAATTCAGCAAGTATTCTTCCTTTTACTTTTTAACTGCCTGGCTGCAAGGTAGTAGGTTGCTTTATTTAGCTGTTCTGTAAAAGCTACTTCTGACAGCTTCTCTTTTTGTTGTTGTTGCTTTTCAGGTTGGTTTTATGACTGGACAAAGTCTTACGACATAGCATTCTACTTCAGCGGACTTTGTGTTCTGTTTGGAGGGCTGCTTCTGTTGGTGGCAGCGCTGCCATGTTGGAACACCAGGAACGGTAGCAATCAAGCTGAAAAGCCACTTCCAAATATTTACTCCTACAAAGTTGCTTCCAGTGTGTAGGTGACAAGTGCGGAACAGTTGCTCCTCTTTGTATACTGCACAGCAAGATATTTTTAGTAATTTCCTCACTTATTTATGAGGCTAAAAAAACACACAAAAATACATTTTTATACTACTTTGAAATGCTTTTAGCCAGAGCCTCTTACCTGTACAGATTGCTGGGTGTGGCAGATGAAGCTCCGTTTTAGCACAAGGGGCCTTTTGCTGTTGACAGCGGTGCTGGAAACCGTAGGAGTGGATGGGGCTATTGTGCTCATATCCTGCTTGCGGGGTTCCCATAGGCATCTGATGGACCGCTGTGAGAACAGGATTAAATGGGCTACTGGCCTGATCCAGTAGGTTCTTACATTCTTCACAATCGGAAAGCCCTGCTTGTGCCTATACAGCTGCATTACAGCCTAAGGGCATTAATTTGTTTCCTTGAGCTCTAATGTACACATCAAGCTCCTGTTGCAAGGGCTTGATGTTCCTTGAGCTCTAATGTACACGTCGAGCTCCTGTTGCAAGGGCTTGTTCACACACAGATCCTTTGTGTGTACATGAAAGTGCACAAAGGTATCTGATACGCAGCCAGCAATGTTCTCCTGAGACTTCCTTTTTCTGATACGTAGTATATACTACAGTTTCACAAGTTAAATATTTTTCCAATGGAACAAAATGTATTTTGAACCGACCTCTTGCTTTTGCTTATCTTTGACAAAAGACGGCACATTGCTTCTCTCTTCAGAAATCTCGATAACTATGTAGTGAAAGACCTTTAAGACAATCGGACCATTATCACCATGAATGTAATGCGAATTTGAAGTGCTTGCTTCTTTGGTAAGGTAAATGCTTTCTGTTATACAATCTCATGTGTTGCCACAAGCAGGATTTGGGTCACATTACTTGTGAAGTGAACAGTATGGCATGAATTGCACTTCTAAATGCCACTGAAGATGCTGCTGTCCAAATATTTCACATTTCACTTCTCCAGAAAATGTGTTAAACCAAAATCTGTGAAACCAAGGAATAAATATAAGTTCTGAAACAACCACATGATTTTGAAATAGTTTCACCCTGTGTCAAAATTCCATTTTAGCAAAACTTGAAGGTTACTTTAATTTTTTTTAAAAAACAACAACCCAAAAGAAAACTATAGGCTCTTAAGTTTCAGGAATTTCACTTTTAAATGATCAGATATTTTATGGTTGCAATTGGCAAGCAATCAGCCAATAGTTTTCCCTATATAGGCTTGATAGAAACAACTGCTGCTGGCATACAGTATCAACTTCTTTGTAGACTGTTTCTGTTTATTGTCATTCAGCTCTTTATGCCAAGCACAACAAAATGGAAAATTTTGCAACATGGGGGGAAAACAACAACCTCAAAGAAGTTTACAAAAAGGTAATACAATTAAATTATTGATAAGAAGAATTGACCACAATAATTTAAGGATTTCCAAAAGTTAAAGTAACAATAAACTAAAAACAGATTAAAACTCATATCAGCTTTCTAATTATCTGTGTAGGCTTGTCTAAAGAAATTTTTTTTCAGCAGGTGCCAAAAAGAGTACAGTGAAGGTGTCTGCCTGGTATAGGCTAGATGTTTCAAAGTGTAGATGCTGCCACACTAAAAGACTGAGTTCTTACAAAGGGGGAAAGGGTTCTTACGTGGCACCCTTAACAGTGCTAGTCCACTGACTAAAGTGGTTGAATATGATTTCGTAGGTACACTGCTCCCATGTTTTTACCAGCTTCATATACTAATGGTAACACCCTGAACTTGGCCTAGTAGCAAATTGGCAGGCAGTGAAAATATCTGAGGACATGTCTTGTATACCGACAAGGCCTCAACTCTTGTCAGCAATCGTGCTGCAGCACTCTAACTGCAGCTTCTAGATCAAGCACAAGGGAAACCCCACATAGGGTATTTTTCACATAAAACTTTCCAAAAGACACATTTTCTTATCAATGATAAAATCAAGGGGGGAAGAGGATAATTTCTGACTCAGAAACGGTTATGTGATTCAGTTCTTGGTGCACCAGCATCTCAAGTAGTTCAGAGATCCCAGATGGTCCTCCTTTTTAAAAAAAATTGTTTGCTTTGTCACACAAAAAAGCCAAGTAAAAACTGAGACGGTCCTTCATTTATGCAATTTTATTCAGTAGAGGGCACCACTCGGCAGAGCAGAGGTTGTAAATACAGGACTGACATACAAGTGTTAAAAGCGGACCATCATAGTACATAAAGTGACATCAGACCAGTGCCGGATTTATGTATAAGCTAAACAAGCTATAGCTTAGGGCCCCACTCTCTTGGGGGCCCCAAAAAATGTAAAGCGGAAAAACCTGGATGTACATTTCCAAAATATAAGAGATCATGGTTGAGCCGGTCCTCATTTTGCTGCTGCATTGCACTGATCTAAGCAATGACTTGGCAAAGCACAAGGGTGCTGAAACTTTTCCAGCCTGAGGATCCTGTTCCTTTCTGATCAACCTTCCAAGGATCACATGCCAGTGGTGAGCAGAAAAGCGAGTGGAGCCATGGATGTAATTTTTGCCTTTGTACAGAAGGCTGGTTTCTACACAAGCACATACACCCCTCACTATCTTCCATGCAGACAAGCAAGAAGCATTATCAGAGTTAAGGACACATTTGAGGTGTGAATCGGGGCCAGCAGAGATGATGGTTGGGGAGAATCATGAGAGGCCCAGAAGGCCATGTTTTCAAGTACTATGTGCAGAAAGAATTCAGTTCAGGGAACGCCTGGTGATGCATCTCCATCTTGTGGCTCAAAGGAGAAGTGAATGAAATTGCAATTTTATTTTTTGCTATTTTACCCCGCTTCTGAGTAGCACACTATACTCATACCATTTTAACAGCCACGGCTCCTACCCCCACCCCAAAGAATGATGATAACTGTAGTTTGTTTGAGGTGCTGATTTTTTTTTAATTATAGGGTTTTTTAAAAATTGAACTTTAAGAAAAGACAACAACAAAAAGAAATATAGTCAAGTAAGTCATACTAAACCACAATGAAACAAAGCAATAGTTTTATGCAGGAGGGGGGGGTGTAGCTGTTGGTCCAGTAACAAACAGATCTGTATATGGTATCCACATATCTTAAAATCTTCCACTTGTGCTTGTTGAAGGTCATCTCATATGCTGGGAGTTGTCATCTCATAAGGGTGCTGGGAGTTGTTAGAAGACCCTCCTCACAGAGCTACAATTCCCAGCACCCTTTGCAAATGACAGTTCCCAGGATTATTGGGGAGATTTTGCTGTTAAAGCAGTATAAGAGTGCTTTAAATGTGTTGGTGTCCGTTTACAAGTCAAAAGTCAGTCCTCCGATCAACTGTAGCAACATCACTCTGGCAATATCAGTAGCCGCGTTGGAATCTCCCAGAGAGGGTTTGTTTTTAATGAGAGGCAGTTAATTCTGAGCCTCTCAAGACAAAGAGAACTTTCTGGAAGGAAAGCTTTCAGCTGCCTGCCTGCTTCCTTGCGGCCTGCCAGGAGCCGGGAGAGACGAGCTTAAATCGGCAGTGAGCTTCGCCACACCTTGTAAGGCACAAACTCTTTGTGGTGCATGGCAGCAGGGGCTGCTTCTCAGGCTTCCTACTCCCAGGGCCCGTTGGGTGGGGCCTGCCTTAGTCACAAGGAGTCACAAAATGGTGGCAGAGCTCAGCACGACTGACAAAACACTGATGTTCTCACCTCACATCTAATCCACCTTCGGAAATGGCTCAGTTCTTCCTCTCCTTTTTGACACCGTGATTTCCTGTCTTGTGGTATTGTGACTCAGCCTCCCCATTTTAGGCAGAATTTGGAAGTCCATAAGGTCTTAAATGAAAAAAAGGCTTTTCTTTTTTGTATCTTTTTCTATTCCCGCCCCCACATATCTCTTGAGGTGGCCATCTGTGATTTCTTCTCCCGTTCTTTCCCAAACTCGGCTTGTACCTAATCCGCCGCCTCCCCCCACAGCCCTTTTGTGTTCACTTTCTCCTTCCATAATTGCATTTCCTCTCTTATACTCTTCATTTCCATTCCAAGTTCGTTTATTTACTAAATATAACAATATGGCTGCTGCAGTTACTAAAGAGAGAGAGAGAGAAACCGCTCTTCTCATTTCAGCATCTCTGGCCCCCTCTCCTCTCACTTGGAGGGCAGGCCTTCCTTCCCTCTTCTAAACTTAGCTTTTCTGCCAGCCACCTTTGCTCAACATGCAAGAGGTCGCCGGCGCTTCCTTTGCTCCAACCAAAAGGCTGCGGGGCACTGAGGCCTTCCTAGAAGTGGCTCAAGGCCCCCATTTGAGCAGCACTGCTGTATATCATACAATCCTCTTGAAAGCCTCAGTTTGCCATGTGGCATGAAGGGCTGCTTCTCAACAAACGCAGGCCCGATACTGTCTTGGGCCTGTGGAACTATTAGTGTGATTGTTTGGATACTAGCCACTGTGCATGTTTTACATGTTCACTTTTAGAGGAAACAAAATCTGATTTTCTAAAGGAGATTTAACACTGGACAAGGCAATCCTAAACCGTGGCAGATGGACTGCTGTGTCCCAAACCCTAATGCTCACACCACTGAGGGCGGAAGGTGGAGTGGCTCCCCCCCCCCCCAATCACCAAACACAAAACTAGACCCCTTTGAGGATCTGCAGGGTTTTGGATCCAGTGACTCCAAAGGTGCCAGTACTTTGTCTTGAAACAGACTGTTTTACAGCTGGTAGGAGAGCTACCAGTGATAGCTTCCAGTTCCCTCCGTGCTGGCAAAGTCCAGCAGATGGTCTCCTCAGCCTTATAATAATCCCCTCTAGAAACACGGATAAAAGGGTTAGGATTGCACTGTTACAAGATTTGTGAGAGACTGAGGTTCTATGGGAAAATATATTTCTGGCACCCAGGCTCCTATCTGCAGTGGATGTTGCCAACCCTTTCTACCTGTGGGCCCTTCTGAAGATTTAAGAAATGTCATGGGCACACACCACAACCTGTTATATTGGCTACAACAGAATTCTTCTTTCAAGCCTGATTTCAGTGGGGCAAAAGGGACCGCAATGGCATCAGGGAAGGCCTTTGTGTGCACATGTGAACCTGAAGTCACTGGATTGGAAACCCCTGGTCCAGGGAATGCAGTGGTGGTGACCTCATAGAATTAAAAGTCTTTACTTATGTAAATCCAGATTCTGTGACAAAAGTTCTGCACCAGAAAAAGCAACCTGTATAAATCAAGCACGTAGTGCAAATGTGCATTAGTTGTCCCATTTTAAAAATATTTTCTGCTAGCCATAGCATAGAACAATATTTTCTGCACAAAACCACATTCATACCTGAATTCTGCAAACAACATAAATGACACACATAAAGCATGTGTTTGTATATTTTTCTATTTGCATAATTTAGTCTGCTTCTACTAACCATGGTGAGGAGAATGCAGGGCACAGAAATGGTAAATCCTGGCCACTGGAAATCGCCCCAAGCCCCAGTATTTCACCAGACATTGCGTATTTACTTTTACAGTCCCACCCCCTCTGAATAAGAGCTAGAATATTACCAAGAAGAAAGGTGGAATCCTCACAATTCGGCACACTATTTTGAACGCTATGACTCTCTAGTTTTCATCCGAAAGCAATGATATCTCCTGGGTAAGAAGTGGTCAGGGTTGGCAGGAAGGAATAATCGGCAGCTCTGCTAGTTACTTCCCCGTGGAATGCAAAAGCTGAATGTCAAGCAGGCTATGAGCATGTCGGAAGTTATTCTGTGCTGTTGTGTGTGTGTGTGTTAAGCACTATGGTAACACCATTGGCTCTGACACCTCAGTAACTTTTTGTAGCTACAGAGCTGACTGAGTAAAAATTATTGTTAGAGGAGGAAAAATAAACTAGGTTCTTTAATCTAGATCAGGCTAGATTAAAGTAAGAATCTGCATGTAACAATAAATTTATTTTAATGTATTGAATGGTTGCATGCAGAGTTGCTGAGAAGATGACATGGATTGACCAAGGAACATGACATTTGTATCTTCTGACATTCGGCACAGTGGAGCTTGATTGATCAGGCTTAACATGGGAACAGGTGCCTCCATTTCTATCTGTGTAAGTGGAATGTTACTAGCTAATTGTTTCTGACTTGTGACTGATCTACATCTGAAAAAGCAAAAGAGGTCTTTATTTTATCTCTGAAGATTAAAAAAATGCAGAGACTGCCAGAATCAGAAACAACATTCCGGAATATTTGAAGGAGACTTAAGGGTTGTTGATGTTTTTACAAATCATGAACTTGCACTATCAATTCAATCAGCGTTCTTGTTTTTTCCTCCTGACTGCATTTTATTTTTCAACACCCTGATTGATTGCAAGCATATTTACTTGGAAGCAAGCCCCATTGATTTCAGTATGATTTGCTCTAAGAAAACAACAACTAGTAAAACACAGTTGTTGAGATTCACATTTAATACTGCATTGCAGGGAATTCTGCACTACCTGGCTTAGGATGGCATGTGGGAGCTGAGGCTGGTGTTCGTAATTCAAATGTAAAAGGTCAAAGATGGATGTTCCAAGTTTTATTGCAATTATTCAGTGCTTAGTGGAGAGATTACATTGCAATTTCCCTGGCTCCCTTGAAAACAGGTGTATTTGTCAACAAGGGGTGGTAATCAACTAAATTTTACTCCGAGCAGACCATTGAAATCAATGGACCTAACTTAGGTTAATTAATTGTCGTGGGTAAAACATGAGTAAAACTTTCTTGACTACCACCCCTGTTTTGGGAACTGCAAATTAGATAATTTCACCTATAAATGCAAGCTTAACCAAGTTCTCACCCCCTTCCTAGTTAGATTAGGCAAAATTCCCATCTAGTCCAGCATTCTGTTCTCACGGTACCAACCAGATGCTGATGGAAAACACACAAGCAAGATTTGACTGCAACAGCATTCTCTTGACTTGGGATTCCCAGAACCTGGTATTCAGAGGCATACTGCCTCCATCACTAGAGATCACACATAGCTATCATAGCTAGTGGCTATTGATAGCCCAGCCTTTCTTGAAAATCATGAAATTTAGAATTGCAGCAGCTATTATTTTCCTGACATAGCTGGTACAGTTTGACTCTTCATTCTGTTTAGAGCAGAGTAAATCACAATTAAATCAGTGGGATTCACTCCAAAGTAAAGGTACATCAGATTGCAGTCTTAAGGCTGTCCATTTCTAGCAGGAATTATATCTGCATATTTTTGTCATGGCAACAGAAGTAAACAACCCAGCAGAGCGCATAATTTTACTCCGTTCTGCTGTTATAAATCTGTAGAGCAAGAAGTGTATTATGTAAATGACACTAGAGTATTTTGACCTGAAAAGAAGATATAAATAGATATTTTCAATTTATCAACATTATAAATACTAAGCTAATAAGTGAAAGATCAAGATGTATTAAATTCAGTGTGAGATCTGCAGTGATGATTCATGCATGATATTTAACTTACATCTCAGCTACTCACTTTTAAGTAATCGGTGTGATTTTATCTTTTTTAAATAACCCCTACTTGTGGCTTTTGGGAAAATTACAAAAAAGTCAGAATTGTATTTCCTTCCTTCCTTCCTTTCTTGGAAGAGATTATATTCAAAGTCAATAATCCATTATTTATGCAGAAGTTACTTTGTGCATTAGGAAGAGTAGCCTTTGCTGAAAACCTGCATCATTAAGAATTGATTGTTTGACTATTTTAGTTTATAATGCAGCTGCGATTTTCTAAAACCTGTAATAAATAAAAATATTAAAATGTTATTATTATTTTTATTAAAAAAAATACTTAGTAAAGTACTCTGTAAAACTGCCAGTACTATGATCAGCTGCTGGGTATTTTGAAGATGCTTGGGCATTCTATCAGGCTATAACAGAACTGCAGATCCTCCCTCTCAGTTTTGCTGAGGAACCAGAAACCTTTAGCTACTCCTTTTAGCTACTCTGTCCCTTCAACTGGTCATTGCAAGAACCTCACAACTAAAAACTAATGTCTGTGTCTTCTTTCCCCCTTCTCCCTCCCAATCCCTTTTCCTTTTGTGGCGTGTCTTTGAGAAGTCAAGAAATTTGGCATGGTTAGATAAAATCTTAGTCTGATCACTTGAATTTTGATACCGTGGTGGTATACAGAACAAACCAATAACTAGAAAAACCAAAGCTTGGAATTATTTGGACGGGAATCTTTTTTCTGACTCAAGTTGCTTTAAAAGGCAATAATGGGAGCAGTGGGAACCTTTGATTTTGCTCTGCTGGCAGAACCAAATTTCCATTGCCAATTTGAGATTTCCCCCCCTCCCAATATTTTGTATGAATACAATACATTTTTAACCCTATCCCCACAAAAAAACTTTCCAAGTTCTTTAGATCTCTTCTGCTCTTTCAGTTTCTTTTGCATCAATGGTGCAAAGAGGCCTCAAGAAGGTGTTGCATTTCTTTCTGTTTGCAGCAGTCGTTATCCTCTGTAGAAATTAAGTACTGTAGAAATAAAGTTGGACCACAACCTCAGGGAACTTTTGGCATTCCTCTTGACTACTTTGCCCAAGAGGAAACTCAATTTCCTGTTCCTTCCGTTGTCAAGCACTTGGTGGAATATTTAGAAGAGTTTGGTAAGTTCATTATCTTTAGCTGAACTTTGTAAGAATTTCTTTTGTTCCTTTCAATAAAAATGCTGAGCTCCGCACTGAATTTCTGTGGCTTCCTGATTTGGTTAGGAAGCAGCATTTGAAGTGGGGATTTCATATGGCCTGTGGCTCCCTCCAGAACAATTATGACATCATTGATCCTGTGCTCTGCTTCTGGCCTCTGATGTGGGCATCTGGTGAAGTGTCTATGATGTCATCAATCCTGGGCATGCCCAAAGGCACTTTCTGGGTTCTGAAATAGAGGGTGATATCCAATATTAGTCATACTCTGCTTAGATCCATTAAAATCAAAAGACTTAAGTCAATTATTTCATTGGTGAATCCCAACTCTTTCCCTACCATTGACACATCTTTAAAGAACATGTTTGGAGAAATTTTTGCAAAGCTACCTTCTTTTCCTAGGGGAATGAGAAAAAGAAAAATCTCAGAAATTTTCTGAGAATTTTTGTCTCAACCCATTTTTGGGGTGGGTGGGTGAGAGAGAACACAAAATCTGTTCTTGGTAACAGACACCTGCCTTACCTCTAGTCATATATTCTTTGCAAATAACCACTTGTAAAACAATAAAGCAGAAGTTAAGTATAGCAATAAATGACTTTCATGTAGGTAACCCGAAGGAAAAGTTACGCAATTTTGTTAGGTACAGAGCTAAGTACCATTTTAGAACTGACACCAGGCCTCCCATTGATTTTGACAGATCAGGACTGTGTATTTATTCACTAATATTCATAATGTTAATACACTGACATGATAGATTTATCTTATTTTCAGGGGGGAAACTGTTTTAGTGCCATGTGCTTCTCATATCACTTAAAGAAAATGTTTTCTTGCTTACAAAGATGCTGATTAACTACCAGGTTGTTTAGTTTTGTTGCCATGACAAAAGCATACCCAGAAACCATTCCTACCATACATGAACAAATTTAGAGATGCAGTCATGCATCTGAGACAGTATGTGAGGAAGCAGGTGTTCTTCCCCCCTCCTTTTTTTTTTGGTATTTTTTTCAAATCCTAGTGTTCCCACAACCCCCTCCTTCTGCATGGATGTTAGTATGAAAACAAATTTGCTGTTACTATAGGATGTTGCCTATTTCAATAGGTCTGAATCACAAAGGCCTATTTCGGATCTGTGGCTCAGTGACCAAAATCAAAGCGCTGAAGGAGAAGTATGACCAAGGAGAAGAGGTGGATCTTGTTAACGAAGGAGATGTCAATTCCATTGCCAGCCTGCTTAAACTCTTCCTGAATGAGCTCCCAGTCGCTGTTATCCCTGACTATCTGTGCGCCAATATTTTAGCTACTTTTGAAGGTAAAACAATTACATATTTTTCTTCAAGTGGGCATGTTGCCACATCTTGGAAATATACACATGCAAAGGTTCTTGATCATGGAGAGGGTTGAAATGGATGATACATATATTTTGGTCTATTCTGTAATTAGAAGCCAGTTTGTCAAACATGACAAACATCAAACACGAATGAAGGCGTTTGACCTTGAGCATAAGAGGTGCTGAACAAACTCAGAGAATGATGAACACTACATGGATCTGCTCAAGATTGCATAATGGTTTGTGGCCATTGGTATCAATTTGTGTACACTGACTTGCTGTCACCCTCTTCATCGAGCTTTAACATTCTTTATCTATATCCTCTTGTGTTCCCCCTTCTTACCCTTTTCACTTCTTCCGTTCTTCTCAAACTCACATGTTAATTAACTGCAGGTTGCTCTGCTCTCATCCCTGTGCTTTCAGCTATATCACTACATATGCCTGGAAAGGTTTTTCCGTCTCTGCTCATCAGACCACATTCCTTTTTTCCAATAACCCTCAAGACAAACTTTGTTTAGCAAAATCTTTTTGGTATCTCCTAACACCATTTTGGGGCTGATCTACTTATGCAGAGAATTCATGCAACTTCCTGAAACCTAGTTCAGACTGCAAGTGAGGATTGCATGTTTCCATGCTTTCCTAGGTTGAAAAAAGCCCCAGACCAAACCAAACCCCCAACTCCTCCCCCCAACAAATAGGGGAGCATCTCCTACCAGCAGTTTGAAGTAGTGCAACTCCCAGAAGGCCACTCCCTGTGATATGTCTGTATGTGCAGATTGGCCGTCATTTGTTTCTCTCCTACCTGTCTCCGTGTCCATTCCTGCTATTCATGATAATTGATCATAAACATTTGTCCTTTCTCAGTTTTGTCGGTGTAACACAGAGTTGGGTTTGCGTGTTGCTAAGAAGCTGCAATACTGGAAGCCGAGGTTGTTTGTACACCTTCTGCTTGCACTTTCTACATAATGTGCAAAAGGGGGATGTACACGTCTCTCCCATGGGGAGAATTTCAAGAGCATATGATGCTCATACACTAAGGTTACCAGATTTATTTCAATGAATCCAGGGACACTATAAATAAATAAATAAATAAATTTATATATAAAAAAGGGAAAAAGTTATTTTTTTAAAAAAAGAAGTAATATCTTCTCTTCTGTGGTCTCCTCTGGGTCCTGGCCTTTCTTGGAGCGCTAGCTGTGTTTCCCCCCTCCCTCCCTCCCTCTCCCACCTTGCACTGCAATCCCCTATAGTCTTACTTGGGAATAAGCATTAGCAGAAACCCCCTCCTCCTCCTGCTGCCCTGCCCGCCTGACTGTCTGGCCATTTCCTGCACAGGGATGGTCCGGCGGCTGCCCATCCGCGCCTTGGCGCGCCCAGTCAGCGGGTCCCGGAGCAGAGCGAGTGGGAGGAGGCGCGCTTGGGTTGGATCAGCTCATCTCCTGCTCGCCTCTCATCCGCGATGGCCAACAACGAGCTGGCCAACAAGCTGAGCCGCCGCTTGCAAGTCGAGAAGCACAATGGTGAAGCCGAGCAGCAGCCGCAGCTACCCAAGCACCACCCGGAGGCTGAGCTGGAGCCTGAGCCGATGGCCTTGGCAGCGGTGCCGACAGCGAGCTGAGCGCCAAGTTGCAGCGGCGCACCGAACTGAAGGACCCTGCACAGCTCTCGCCCGGCGGTGGCACCCAGCACTGTGTCTTCAGGCCCTACACCGAGTCCTCATATGATGTGTCTTGTGCGCAACACATCTTATGGGGACTTCCAGCGAGGCAAAATGGCAGGCGCCTCCTGAAGCCAGCCAGAGCCAACTGCGCTACCAGGCTGGCTCCAGGCTGCTGAGACTGCCGCTGCCACGTTTCCCGGGGACATTAGATGAAATCCGGGGACATTCCGGGGATGGAATTTGTCCAGGGACAAATTTGCAAATCCGGGGACTGTCCCCGGGAAACGGGGATGTCTGGTAACCCTATCATACACCTCACTGTTGCACAGGATGTCGCTCATGTTTATGCTGTCAATGCTTCTCTGGCACCCATCTGGGCGGTGACCATCTTACCTCAGTACAAAACACCTTGCACATGCTTGGTACTCAGTAAGTATGAAACACTAGCAGTAATAACTACAACTTATGCTAACCTTAGTTAATGATTAACATTTAATCCTTCGCAGATAATAAAAGCGACATGGCAGACCGCCCAGGATGCACCCTAAGAAGGCTATTAAGCAGCCTACCGAAAGCCCACTATAGCCTTTTCCATTTCCTTATTAGATTTCTGGTCAAAGTGGCAGCACATAGTGATGAGAACCACATGACAATGGAGAACCTTGCCAATGTTTTTGGCCCCACCCTTTTCCGGTAAGATGTTGTTATGATTGCTGTATAATGTGTAAATTCCCTTTCCTGTGGTATAACTTTCCTGGCAACATTCCTTTAGTCTGCAGGTGGGGGCTTGGATGTTTCCTCTAAAGAAGCCCTCAACCTTTTTGGATACGTTATGTCTAGAAATACATGCAAGAGAGAAGGGTTCTGGCTTGTTGAGAGATTAATTTTCCATTTACAAAGAGTTGTTCCCACATGGGAGCTTTCAAGCTTATTTCACTGCCTGAAGTGGGATAGTTCAGGAAATGGTTTACGCAAATGATTTTACTGGTTGTGTATTCTGGTCCCGAGGGTAGTATGCTTAAACTGACTTAAAATGCAAGTGTCCTCTGAGTTTCCATGTGCCTTGGAATTTACAAGTTTGTAAGTAATAGCAGAATTACCTTTTCTTGGCAGTTTGTTCGCCATGTTCAGTCTTGGAGCTCCTCCAGATGTGCTTTTTATTGTGCGTTCATGACGATGCGTGTTCATGATGGTATCAGGGCTGTTATACACAATTCTGCTTTAAATACTGTTTTTGCTTGCAGAAGTTTTAGGACAGATGTACTGCTTTTGTTTCCATGCATCAGTGCATGTCCCATAACTTCTAACTGAAATCCTGTAACTTTCGATACCACAAATGTTCTGGTTTATTTATTTTTTTGGTCCCGCAGTTGTCATGCTATAGTGCAATAGTGTTCCCTCTAAATGGCCATAATATTGAGGAAGCATTGTGGAACCACTGACAAAGTAGAATTATGTGTGGCTGGTGCAGTCCACCACTAATGCTGCAATCCAATGACATGCTGCAGAATACATCTGCAAAAAAGAAAAGGAAAGAAAGACACACATGAAGGAGACCTTGGTCCAACTACAATCAGAGTTACCAAACTGCATCTACTTTGAAAGTGGCTTCCTTGACATTGCTGATGCATGTCCCCCTCTGTGGCTATCTGCTCTCCCAGCCTGTCTGCTGGGGACCTTGACTGCATTAAATTATCACTTAATTATAAGTAAAGTAAGGTAAAGGTACCCCTGCCCGTACGGGCCAGTCTTGACAGACTCTGGGTTGTGCGCCCATCTCACTCTATAGGCCGGGGGCCAGCGCTGTCCGGAGACACTTCCGGGTCACGTGGCCAGCGTGACAAAGCTGCATCTGGCGAGCCAGCGCAGCACACGGAACGCCGTTTACCTTCCCGCTGGTAAGCGGTCCCTATTTATCTACTTGCACCCAGGGGTGCTTTCGAACTGCTAGGTTGGCAGGCGCTGGGACCGAGCAGCGGGAGCGCACCCCGCCGCGGGGGTTCGAACCGCCGACTTTTCGATCGGCAAGCCCTAGGCGCTGAGGCTTTTACCCACAGCGCCACCCGCGCCCCTATCACTTAATTATAGTGAGTGACAATTTAATATTCAGCTTCAGAATTTATATGGGCCTGAGAGGATGCACAGCATTAGACTATGAAGTATGCCACCGTTTTACAACCCTCTTTTGATGTACCATAACTTATATAGCCTTCATAATTACACCAATAATCGCTTTATTGAATTAACAGCAGGACCAAACACCCAAATATTTTTAATGTCTGGATTAAACAGAAACTTACTGTTTACAGTATCATTAAAAATGAATGAATCTCTTCCCCACCACCACAACATTTGCATTTTCCATTAGAGAACAACAGCATCATTGGCCATGTTATATATAATGCGCACGCTGTGTGCATGCTGTGAGCTTTCAGTTCCTTGCAATATTTGGATGACTTTACCATGGAGTTACCAGATTTTATCCAGATATTTTAATAACAGTTTTATTATACATACAAATAACTATTGCCAAAGCAGGATAGCAAGCACAATTCCTAACAATAATTCAAGTTAGAAGTATGCTACATCAAATATGTACTGACTTGTTAAAAGCAAGCGCAGAAAAGGCTTCTTTCTTTTACTCTCCCTCTCCTTATGGCAAGTTTAGCAAAAATTGTCGCTGATACACACACACACACACACACACACACACGAGCTGTCTGCAACATGCACATTTATCTTTTCATTTCCTCCTTTTATAAAACATAACGGCAAGCACTTAAAACATTTATGTTCTGTAAGTTCCTTTCTAATGACCACCAGACTGGGTGGTTGGTGATTCATAGGGCTAGAGTATGAGGACCATTAAACTGATGGCATTCCATTTTCTTTTTTCCTTTTCAGAATTCCTTGCAGCCCCTCAGCTCATAAAAAACAAGCAGTATGCAATGGCATTCTCCTATATATTCTTCAGCACCATGCGAGGATATTTGTGGTCTGCCCTGACACTCATTTCTCACTGACAGAGGCAGGTGACCCCCAGGTAAGGAGCTATTAAGGGAGACTGAGTCAACAGATAATTTCTCATTAACTCCTAGGTATGTATTTTTCTCAACTACACTGTGAAGTCACCCCATGGTCAATGCTTGGTTTATCAGTAGCACATCGAGTGCAGATGGGAAACTTGGTTTTTAAATGATAATTTCCCCTGCCAAAGAATACAAATGATCAGCTTTAAAGAGAATGTTGTTTAAACTGAAGGCGCTAATAAATTGTTTCAGGGCAAGTGAGTTTAAATCTATTTTTTTGTCAAGTTTCATGTAAGGGTCTTAAATATAATGCACTTTATAATTATGATGTATCTGGTTTAATAATGGAATGATATATATTATGTTGTAATTACATAATCAGTAAATATGAAAAACTATATATTGTGTGTTGGGGATAAGCTTTTAAAAACTAAGGGAAAGGGTTCCAGCCTTGTCTTTTTATTGACAAGCTGGTTTTCTAGGTGTAAAGATGTTTTTAGGAGAAGTGGCCTTTCAAACATAGAGTCAAGAGACAATTTCACCATTTGATAAGCTGTTTGCGTGAACTTGGCTGCAATGCAGTTTAGATTCTGGGGGTTAATGACAGAGGACATATATGCCTCTAATATATGGTGAAGGGGGTTGAAAATGACCTTTTGATCTCTCTTGCACTGTTATAAATCTATTATAAAGAATAGGTTATTAACAGTTTTCAACATAACATCACTCTGCTCCTTCCCCCTTATTTCCACCTCACCATCCCATTCCAATCATTTGTACGCTTTCCCCACAGATTCTCTCCCCTGCCCCATTGTCCCAAGAGCTGACACAACAGACAGAGGAAATCCATCATCCATAATGTATGCGGCAAGCAACCTAAGACTGGCTGGCCCCTTCCCTCCACATGGTGTCAGTATTGCGTTTTGGAATCTCACTGTTCCACTTGGTGGCAACTGGCTGGATTTTAACCTGCAGTTTTCAAGGTCTTTTTTTACAGTTTGCCCCTTCTTCTGTTCACATGCACAGCAATGTCATTATGACTGATTTATAACAACTCAAAGGATCCGTTTGGATAATCAGATGTTTGGGTACATAGGTGTGCAAATTTATATCCTTAATTAAAACACTGAGATGCAAAGAACATCCCCTCCACCGCTCCTGTAATGGGTGGGGGAGCTGTGAGACTCTGCAAGGGCTTCCTCTCAAGCAAAGGCCCTTTTGAAGCCTCACCACTGGACAGGAAGAGCCTGGCAAACTCCACAAGGACTTCCAGAACGCCTCTCTCTTGCTGAAAGGGAGGCATTCTGGAGAGCTATGCCGCTGCCCCTAGGGATGGGGAGGACTAGCAGCAATCAAAATAGGTGGTGAATCAGTTCCTACCTTCTATTTCTGACTATATGTGATTATTTCTTAGTAGCATCTATAACTTTGGCCCACTCATTGATTTGACACTTGAAATGACTTTTAAAACAAACAATTAAATGTGCATAGGCAGTATCATATGCCAAAGGCACAAATCCTGTTGCTAACAAAAGAGTCTGACCTCTGTTGATAATATTACTATAGCTAGTGTGTGTGTGTGTGTGTGTGTGTGTGTGTGTGTGACAACAAACGGCTCTTCTCCTTTTTTCTGAAGGATGGATTCAAGGCTGGGCCTTTGGATATTGATAAATCCTTGCCCCATCCCTTTGAAAACTCTTTGGGGATGACTGTCAATTCCCCGACATGTTTTCAGTTATAGGATGGTTACTGCCATGCTCTGTCAGTAAAATGTTACTAGCTGCACTTTGCCCCTTGTTTCTGGGAGGCTAATGCTGTCGGCTGTAGTGTGCTTCTCTCTCTCTAGATGCTGCTGTTTGCCATCTGTCTCTCGTTTGTTCCAAGAGGACAAATTACTCTAGGTTGTGTGCTAATCCAAAGCAATAGGCAATAACATTTCTACTCCCCTCCACAAAATCTCTCCAGCCATCCAGAACGATGCACAATTGGAAATCATTTCCACTGATAATACCTTCGGAGTTTAGGAAAATTATTTCACAAAGCGAAGCAAACAAAGCTCGGGTGAATTTCCACCGTGACTCTGCAAGAGATGTCATTATATCCCTGTTGTCTTTATTTCTCAGTGTTCTGAAAGCACCTAGGAATTAAGTGCTCTTGAGTATGTGAGAAAGGGGAGCTTGAGTGCGGCTTCTCACATGTATGTGCATGCTTAAGTGTCTGGAGACAGAGCTTTGCAGAGAATGACACATTGCAGGCACATTTTGCTACTGTTCAGCACCCCTCCAAGAAACCTTGGGTGACGGCTGTGGGCTGGGCCAGCAAATGTGAAACTCTGGGTCATTTTCTCTGCTGTTTTCTACCCCATTGCTTTTCACTTGCTTACCTCTCTCCCCCCCCCTCTTTCCTTCGACCCATTCCCATTTTTCCAAAGATTCCATTAATCCACCCCCACTCCTACTTCCCAACAGAAGATAGAAGCTGCCTCCCACAGGGTCAGGCTTTTCCACCATCCCATTGACTTCAGATCTGCCCAACACAGGCAGAAGCTTTGTCTCTGGTGGAAACTGTCTCCATTTAATGGGAGAGGCCAGCCATTGAACTAGAAACCTGCAAGCTGTCGTCCCTCCTATTTTCCGCTGGGGCTTCTCCTCTTGCCCCTAGAATAGAGGCTGCAGTTGGTGTGGATCGGATTCTGACAGCGAAAGGTCAGCACAGCTGAGCCATGCCTGTCCACATCACCTTTCCCTTCCATCTTCTACTGTTTTCAAGCGATTCTCTTTTCTCCTATCTGATTTCACACACGCACCCATGTTTATTTATCCAGTGGGTGTCATGTTAATTTATGCCCCGGGTGCCAGTCTTAGGCTCCCCCTGCAGACACCCACACACTCTTTTCTTGTTCCAAAGTATGGAGCCGTATTTGGAAGAATGCAAGAAGCCAGATATGGAGGCAGCCAAAATTAATTTCTCCCTCTCCCCCCCCCCCACTGCCAATCTCTGGGAACAAAATGAATAGCTTTGATTTAGAATCTTTTTCACTGGTCAGGTTGAGTGGGACCTTCTAAAAATAACAATATGTTCTATTTTGCTGCTGCTGTAACTCTACTGCACAAATATCTTTTATCAACACAGTTAATATTTGCATATTTCTCTTAGGAAATATAACAAGGAGTCTGCCAAGTCCATCGAGCAAAGGGAATATTTTCTGAATTCAGCTGCTTGATCTGTTTTTTATAATCATTATTTGTGCTTCAAGTCTGACCTTCACATCCCTCAACATGAAATCCATGTCAGTAAAGTCCCTGTTATTTGATCTTACATTTACAGTCCATAGGGTGCTGCCTTTGCATAGAGCAGTGCTAGACATTGCAAAATAAATAAACAAACAACCACCAAAAAACCAACAGCACTGCCCCCCACCCCCAGCTGAGTTTTCCTCTTCTTCTCTTTTGGATTTGGCCTGCCTCATTCTGGATGTTGTTGTTCTGAGTTTTCTCTGCCCCTGATAGTCCTGTAGATATCGGGACATGTGGCAAATGGGAGCAGATGTTATAGAGCGGGGCAGGGGAGGAGGAACTTGGCATGGGGCTGCTCTTTTTGGCAGTAGCAGCTCTGTATTTTGTAACATCTAGGTACAAACACACACTGCTTCCACTTGGCTTGGTCCCATGAGGCTGTTCTATGTGTGTGGATACTGCAGCCTCCCACACAAAGCCAGTGGCACAAGTCTTTCTCAGGTGACTTCAGTCTCAGTGGTACAGATAAGTAGCAGCTTGGGGACGGGATACCTAGCAGCCCACCTTCCCCTTTACAATATACCTCTGGTTGGTCGCTCAGATCTTCCAAGGGGGCCTTTCTGATGCGAAAAATGATGGGATTCAATTTTATAGCATCTTGCAAGCAGGCCTTTTCAGTAGTGGCACCGCTCTCTGGGACATAAACCATGTGATGTTCATGAGGTAGCAATACCTTCTGAAGACCCATCAATTTATGCAGGCTTTCTCTGGCCTGTAACCTTCATTGCACTGCTCCATTTTACTGATGTATTCTTTGCTTTTGTTGATGTGGGTTTTTTTTTGTATTTTGGTTAACTGTTGTAATATAGATCTTTTAATGATCTTAACTGTTTCATGTGAGCTGTTTAGAAACGTCACTCATTAACTGGGACATAGATATTATAAATAAAAATGAACGAAAGAATAATATGGGCTGAAATATTTGTGGACTGTTTAAGTGTGTGTGTGTGTGTGTGTGTGTGTAAGTGTAAATATTCGCCAGGAGTTTGGGTGAGGGAAAACAATAAATTTCTCGGAAAACTTTCTCCTGAGAAATCTTGGCTCACATAATCTTGAATGAACCTCTGTTGTTAGTTCATATAGGTGAACTCCATATTTGTATATGCAGCCTTTGTGTGTACATGTGCCCAGTTTTGATGGAAATATAGAACTACACTCCCTCTATCTATCTATCTATCTATCTCCATACCTTGGTGGAGGAAGTGTTTCCTCCCAGCTGAAGGGATCAGTGCCTGCATTTTCCCTCTACCCTGTTTAATGTCCAGTTCTTCCACATGCCATATACCCTCTTCAATAGCTGAGTATCTGCTGTGGAATCCTTGCACATAGCAAAGCCAGCGTGTACACTCAGGACATGTGGGTCACTGACCAGGCCCATTTGGGCCTCACCATTTTCCTGCACGAAGTGACCCCATGCTGTAGGGATCACCTAGCACTCTACCACAGATGTCCATTAGAAGAGACCAGTAATGGGTAAGCAAGCTGTTTCGAAGGGAATCTTCTCTGCCGTTTGTGGAATGCCTAATCAGGAACCACAGGGCTCTGGCAATCTAGTAAGCACTGTATTAGGATGTATTTATGTGGGTATTTACCATGAATTCTGCACTATGTTTAAAAAATGAATATGTAACAGATATTGCTAATAGTTCCACTTGCCAAGCCCTTCTGATGTTGCTGACCCAGACTGAAAGCCACAGCAGTCATTTTGTCAGATATCG